TTCCCATGCCTCCCCCATGCCTCCTCCCCATGCCCTCCCCCATGCCTCCTCCCCATGCCCCCCATGCCTCCCCATGCCTCCCCCATGCCTCCCCATGCCTCCCCCTGCCTCCCACATGCCTTCCCCATGCCTCCCCCATGCCTTCCCCATGCCTCCCCATGCCTCCCCCATGCCTTCCCCATGCCTCCCCATGCCTCCCCATGCCTCCCCATGCCTCCGCCATGCCTGCCTCCCCATGCCTCCCCCATCCCCCCCATGCCCCCCATGCCTCCCCATGCCTCCCCATGCCTCCCCATGCCTTCCCATGCCCCCGTGCCTTCCCCATGCCTTCCCCATGCCTCCCCCATGCCTCCCCCACGCCTCCCCCATTCCTCCCCCATGCCTCCCCCATGCTTCCCCCATGCCTCCCCCATGCCTCCCCCATGCCTCACCCATGCCTCCCCCATGACTTCCCCATACCTCCCCATGCCTCCCCATGCCTCCCCATGCCTTGCCTCCCCCATGCCTCCCCCATGCCTCCCCCATGCCTCCCCCATTCCTCTCCCATGCCTCCCCATGCCTCCCCCATGCCTTCCCCATGCCTTCCCCATGCCTTCCCCGTGCCTCCCCCATGCCTTCCCCATGCCTCCCCATGCCTTCCCCATGCCTTCCCCGTGCCTCCCCCATGCCTTCCCCATGCCTCCTCCATGCCATTCCCCTGCGTTTCCATGCCTATTCCTGTCCGCACCATGCCTCGTCCTTGCTTCATCCTGCATTTCCTATCCATTTTTCACCCCACTTAGCGCACTTCTCATCATGCTCAGCCCACTTAGTGCACTTCTCATCATGCTTAGCCCATCCCTGTTATGTGTGTTCTCCCTAGCACGCGCACACTTTCCCTTGTCAACAGCAGATGACAAACTTCCTTGTTTAATACTGTTCAACACTTCACTCCCAACAAAGACCCCCTCTCACATGACAAACCTCCCAAACATGACATGTCCACATCTCCCATGCCAGCCAATCAGCCCCTCACATCCTGGTGCCTTGCATGCTCCCTCGCACCTTCCCAGGAACGCCTTCCGAGAAGCGTCCTCGCCGTATTCCCGGACCGCCATCTCCACCTACCCCTTCTCCTGCTCTCTCCTCTCCTCCCTCCTCTGGGCCGCCTACGCGCTCCCTATAGTCACACCCCACCGCATTCTCTTCCTCCTCGCCCACCTCATACAGTCATTCTCCCTCTCTGCGCTCCTCATTGCCCTCCTTGCGTCTGACTCCTCCAGTTACCGCCTGCGCCTGGTAAGCTGTACCGCCCGCCCGTGTCATGTTTCTGACTGTATCCTGCGTCTTATTCACGTATAGACTCCCCTTCTCCCGCTCCTCCTCTGTGCCCTGATTGCGTCTGACTCCTCTAGTTACCGCCTGCGCCTGGTAAGCTGTAAGGCCCGCGCGTATCATGTTTCAGATCCGCTCAGAGATCCCTCTCCCCCCTCCTCCCTCTCCGCCCTCCTCCTGTCTCTCGTCGCGTCTGATTGCACCCAGTTATTTGCTGCGCCCTGACTTTCATGTGCCAATGTTCATTTGATCTCCCAGCGCTCATTGGCCCGCCTCTCACCTCTCAGCTTCAGGTGCTGCAGATCCTGCCGCCAGTGGCAGGCCTCTCCATTGTGGCGCTCGTCCTGGGATACTACTGCTCCACATCTTTCCCCCTTCTATTCGGTGTGCCTGCCTCAGCAGCAGCCGTGCTCCTGCTCGCCCCTCACCCCCTCCTGCGCCATGGTGAGTCTAAAGGGCGTTCCGAGAATTCTCGAAGCCTCCCACAGAGATTTCTGAGAGTTGCTGCTGGCACTGCTGGCACTGCTGGCATTGCTGGCATTGCTGGCATTGCTGGCACTGCTGGCTATGCTCCTGCTGGCCTCTCACCCCCTCCTGCGCATGGTGAGTCCAAATGCGTTCCGAGAATGTCCGAGAATCTCTCACTCTGCTGTCCTTGAGTCACCTGTGCGCGGCAGCAGCCGTGCTCCTGCTCGGCCTCTCAGCCCCTCCAGCGCGTGGTGGGTCCAAAGGCCGTTCCGCGAATTCTTAAAGCCTCCCAGAGATTTCCGAGAATTGTTGCTGGCTCAGCTGGCTCTGCTGGCTGTGCGCCTGCTCGCCCCTCACCCTCTCCTGCGCATGGTACGGCCGCAGGGCTTTAAACGATTTCTCAAGGATTTCTCACGTGGGGACCAAGTGCCATTGCTGGTGCTGCTGGCATAGCTGCCCATGGTCCTCGAGTCGTTCAGCTGCACTGTGCCTGCAACTAGACAATCTTTCATCTTCCATCCTTTCTTTCCCATTCACCCCCGCAGGTGAGGCTCTTTGACTCGGCCACATCAGCCCCAGCAGCACAGCTCTTCGTTAGCTTCTCTCTGCTCGCCTCTGCATTCGCGTGGGCTGGTTTTGGCTTCGCTGCTTCCGACTTTTTCATTGCTGTGAGCTCTTGCCGTGCCAGGCTGTCTGATTCTCGTGATACATCTCATCTCATCTCATCTCGGCCTCGCCGCACCGCAATGCACCGCACCCCACCCCACCCCACCCTACCGCACCCCACCGCACCCCACCTTATCTCACCTCATCCCATCTCCCATGCATCAAGCAGCCATGCCTTGTCCACTGGTTCCAGCTCAGCACAACCGTTTGTGGAGGTAGTACTGCTGCTGCCTGCCACCACCAACACCGATGGCATCGAGTCTCTGTGCATCGAGTCTCTGTGCATCGAGTCTCTGTGCATCGAGTCTCTGTGCATCGAGTCTCTATGCATCGAGTCTCTGTGCATCGAGTCTCTGTGCATTGTCGCGGCACTTGCTTTCTGACTCGCCTCAACAGCCATTGAGCACTTGCCGACTCAACCAGTGGACACTCGTCCTTAGGTTCCAGTGTGCCGCACCGTTTCGTTTTCTTTGAGGTGACTTTTGAGTCGACTCAAAAGTCACCAGTGTGCCGCACCGTTTCGTTTTCTTTGAGGTGACTTTTGAGTCGACTCAAAAGTCACCAGTGTGCCGCACCGCTTCGTTTTCTTTGACTCAACGTCGACTCAGCAGTTGCGAGTGTGAGGTTACTGGAAGCAAGCAAGTGAGGTTACTGGAAGCAAGCAAGTGAGGTTACTGGAAGCAAGCAAGTGAGGTTACTGGAAGCAAGCAAGTGAAGCAGCAGTTGCGAGTGTGAGGTTACTGGAAGCAAGCAAGTGAAGCAGCAGTTGCGAGTGTGAGGTTACTGGAAGCAAGCAAGTGAGGTTACTGGAAAGCAAGCAAGTGAAGCAGCAGTTGCGAGTGTGAGGTTACTGGAAGCAAGCAAGTGAAGCAGCAGTTGCGAGTGTGAGGTTACTGGAAGCAAGCAAGTGAAGCAGCAGTTGTCCATTGGTTCCAGTGTGCCACGCCGCTTCACTTGCTTGCTTCCAGTAACCTCAGCTGCCACCGATTCCCACTCCTCTCAGTTCTCCCTCCTCTCACGTTTGCCTGCAGGTGCCGTATGTGGTGGTGGCAGCACTTGAGGCTCTCTTTCTCGCTCTTTCTTCGATCCTGGGGTAAAAAATTTCGCTTCTGTTCGAGTAGAACTTGGCATAAATCATCCCACGGTGTCACATGAAGCAACGCACGCACCAACGCACGCACCAACGCACCAACGCACGCACCAATGCACCAACGCACCAACGCACCACTGTACCCGTTGTCTCCAGCATATGTTTTTCCTGCCATCCGAGATAACTTTTCAAAATTTCTCAGCAGTTGTCTCCAGCATGTGTTTTTCCTTCCGTTCTCGCCTCCACCCTCCAACCCCCCCATCCCGCTCCAGCCTTTAATGCCATCCCCCATCCCCCATCCCCCATCCCCATCCCCCATCCCCCATCCCGCTCCAGCCTTTAATGCCCATCCCCCATCCCCCATCCCCCATTCCGCTCCAGCCTTTAATGCCCATCCCCCATCCCCCATCCCCCATCCCCCATTCCCCATCCCGCTCCAGCCTTTAATGCCCATCCCCCATCCCCCATCCCCCATCCCCCATCCCCCATCCCCCATCCCCCATCCCCATCCCCCATCCCCCATCCCCCATGCCGCTCTCACAGCACCACCAGCAGCGCTGCGTTGCAACGGAGGGCAGCAGAGGGGTACGAGCTCGTCCCCCCCCACAGCGTCAGAGTCAGGGTTGACGGAGCAATCGCTGTGAGTGCCACTGCCGTGCCTCTGCTGCTGCCATGCCTCGGCTGCTGCTGTGCCTGCTGCCATGCCTCTTGCTGCTTCCATGCGTCTGCTGCTGCCATGCCTCTTGCTGCCGTGCCCTGCTGCTGCCATGCCTCGGCTGCTGCCGTGCCTCTGCTGCTGCCATGCCTCTTGCTGCTTCCATGCCTCTGCTGCTGCCATGCCTCGGCTGCTGCCGTGCCTCTGCTGCTGCCATGCCTCTTGCTGCAGCGCCTCTGCTGCTGCCATGCCTCGGCTGCTGCCGTGCCCTGCTGCTGCCATGCCTCAGCTGCTGCAGCGCCTCTGTTGCTGCCATGCCTCAGCTGCTGCCATGCCTCAGCTGCTGCAGTGCCTCTGCTGCTGCCATGCCTCTAAATCTCCACCCTCCTATCCTCCCCTTTTCCTGCCTCCACCCCACCTTTCTGTTTCCATCTCATTACACGTGTTTTGCCTCCCGTTTCTTCTGCGTCCACTTCCTCTGCCTCTCCTTTCGTCCACATATTTTTGTCAACATGCCTGCTTGACTGTTGCTGTCCTCTTGGCACACGTGCAGAGAGGACACACCTGATGAGTTTGACGAGTGGTTACAACTGGACGCCCTTCATGGCCGTAGACTGGCCTAGCACTACAATGCATGTAACCACTTGTACAGTATATGCATGCATATACTACTCGTCCATGCATTGTAGTGTATGGCCGCATTGTACTACTCGTTCATGGCGTAGACTGGCCTAGCACTACAATGCATGTAATATATATATACTGTACAATGTGGTTACAATGTACGCATGTAAGAAAGAGCCGCATGCCTGCTCGTGTAACAAGCTGTTGCTTGCTATGCTGCCGGTATACCTCGCACGGTGCTCGCAGCAGAGAACCTTTTTAGCCGGCTTGTCACTTGGGTTGCAAAATCAGTGTCTTTCTGAGATGTGCCGCTGTGTACACCCAACATCCCTCATCCTAGTATCTGACAAAAACGGTCGCTCAATCCTTCCATTCCGACTTGAGATGTGTTGGAAATATCTCAAAGGACTTGACAAACGTCACCGGATCTGAACACGTCAGCACTCCAGAAACGAAGGGGAGTGTTGGAAATATCTCAAAAGACTTGAGCGTTTCTGAAGTGTAACACTACACTCGAGGAAGATCGCAACGGGTACACGAGTCAACGGAGGTTACACGAGGGGCGGACAAAGAACGCGAAGGGACTCGAAGGGTCGCAACTGGAGGTTGCGACTGACCGTTACAACAGCGCGGATGGTAGCCGAAGCGACAATCGAGTCGCTGTGCGACTCGATAACCGCTCCTACAACTGTATTCTACAACTGCTTTCTTATTTTCTATATATTGTTGTATGCTTGTTTCTCTAATCAATCACTTGTTCTCATATACTAGTACAAGGGTTCAACTACTCAACTTCCGCTGCACTACTCAAGTCTCATTCTTCAACTGGGACTTAGTCTCCGAAAAGATCCTAAGGGCATTTATCAGCCCAATATGGTATGAGAGCTGGTCAGAGACCAAACTCCCAGCAACTACGCTCTATCTACAATCTGCAATACAAACGACTTCATTGATTACAAGTCATGGACAGCAAGGGCAAGAAAATCTCTGCGGGCTCACCCAGCGCCCAAGACACTCAACCCGGCAACTCTGGATTGCACACTTCAGGACTGCAAACCGAGACCGGCGCTGCTCAAGAAACAACAGGAAGAGCACCGGAAATGGTGACCCCATCACCCTCTTCAAGCGTGGATCCGAACCTTATGGAAAGGTTCTTCAGCTTCATGTCGCACTTCGACCAGCAGCAGCAGACAAGGACACTGGCATATTCAACACAGAGCAACGGAGGAAACATGGGATTAGCGCCGATGAGCCTCGACAATTCATCCTTCGGGCGACACAATCAAGCGCCTACCTTTGCACCTTATCACTCTTCACTGGGGACGTTCGAGTTCATGCTGCCCCGTGCCCAACCAACAGCAGCTGCATCACAACAAACACCAAACGAGATTTTAAGTCTCCAGGCGCAGTTTTCACACGTGATTAAACTGCAGACATCATCACCATTCAACGGACGATTCTTTACCTGGAGTTTTGAGTTCGAGCTGCTGATGGAGGCTGCGCATCTCTTGGGATACTTCAATGGGTCCCTGCCATTCCCAAGCAACGGCACTGCAAAGGAGCAAGAAATATTTACTTATCAGTCGCTGCTGGCGTACACAGTTCTCCTCCGGAACCTGTCACCACAAGAACAGCAGAGCATCAGAACCTATCGGAGCTATGGAAACTCCGCGGAATTCGCATGGCATCATCTCAAGTGTCTCTATCAAGCAAACGACAGCGTGACACAAAGCAGACTCATGCAACAACTGACAACAATACAGATGAAGACAGGGGAAAAGGCGATACAAGTATATGAGTCGCTGCCAGACCCTCCGCGACCGCCTGCTTCGGTGCGGAGGAACAATCACTGAGGAAAGCTTCGTGACGCTTGTCCTCGCCGGGCTCGGACCAGAATGGAGAACCCACACGCTCGCTTCTTCGCGCCCACGAAGAATCTCGGAGATGCACCTCTGCGCCGAGCTTCACGCTGAACAACAGGAGATGGACCTGTTCGAAGAACGATAACCAAGGAAGCAGCAGTAGCTAGTTTTCTACACTCAACGAAGGAACGACAACAACTACACAATCGATCGCGGCAAGCAAGATCAACGCGACAACAGAGGACTCACCTCGTGCCGCCGTTCTGCCACAACTGTCAGACTCTGGACATCCAAAGTCAACTGCACCACGTCCTCGTGTTTTATCGTCCAGTAGACCCACACGTCGCCTCCACTCAAGAAAGCCCTCCAAGGCGCTCTTCCACATCTGCACAAGGGACACCGAACATCATTAACTGTATGGTACACATCGACAACTGCGCACCCGGATCACCACCCACTTCCGCACCAGACGAAGAAGAACTTCCGCCGCCGCGCTCACAAGGACTTGAGGTCAACTCGACATACGCTGCGGTCGCCAACGCCGAACCCACCGGGCGAAACACCTGGTTCTTGGACAGCTGCTGCGGTTAATACATGTGTTCTTCGGCCATCGCGCTCCTGACGACATCTGGCACCAACGACTCGGGCACCTTGCAAACAGTACAATACTGCAAACCATCCAAGCCGAAGTGTTAGAACGCAACGCCCTCCTAACAACGAGCGGCCAAGAACTTCGACGACCACGCGCACGGTGCTTTACGTGCCCCGAAGCCGATCTTCCCCACCAGTCTTTCCCATCTCATCACAACCCAAGCGCACCTGCATACGCACCGATGGAAAAAGTCTACAGCGACATTTTAAACATGCCTCTAGAAGACACTGAAGCCGACTTCAACTATGTCATCACGTTTATCGACGCAGCAACAAGATACGTCTGGCACTACAACCTCAAGACGCGCGATCAAGCCTTCGACGCCTTCACGACATGGCTACCCATCGCTGGACGAGAAAAAGGGACAAAGCTCAAGAGCTTCCAGTCAGACGGTGCACAAGAATATCAGTCACAACGCTTCAGGACCTATCTGGCGGAAAGAGGAATCAGGCGCCTGGTGTCTCTACCCTACGCTCACCAGCAGCAGGGTGTCGCAGAACGCATGAACCGGACCTTGCAGACGACGATGCGGAAGCTGCTCCTGGGGATGAGACTGCCCACCACACTGTGGCCAGACGCGATGACACATGCAGTCCACCTGCACAACCTGTTGTCCTCGTCATCACTTCCCAACAACGCATCACCGCACCTGCTATGGACACGAAAACGGGGCAGCACAAAATTACTTCGAGTTTTCGGCTGCATGGTACAGTACAGACCCCACACAACCAGAGCAGGACGTTTCACCCAACGAGCACGATAGGGGCTACACCTCGGCATCGCACAACATTTTCACGCATGGAAAATCCTCGACATAAAAGACAAAACTACAATGGCATCACGTGACGTTATCTTCTACGAGCGACTAACGCTGCAGCATTACCTGGACAACATTGCCAACACACATGACCCCACCGACGGCTTCGCGGGCCTTTGTTCCTTCGCCGACCGTGCTGCTGAGGCTGACGCAGCAGAAGAAGACGTACCTGGAGCCTCGGAAGCTGCCAGACCACTCCCTTTCTGCTCCGTACCTGTTCCACTCGACGAAGACAATCCTCTCGATAGCAACAACCTCGACACCTTTTACCACTTCGCTGACCAAGGTTACGTTACACCCCACCCGGTCGACACAAATGTTTCAGAACGCATCGGCCCAAATTTCTTACCTGGTCCAGAAGACGGTGACGAAGCAGCCTATTCCGGGAATGAAAATTCCCCTCGACACACACCAACGGGACTGCAGATACTCGGCCTATGGGTCTCCGTCCAGCATCCGCCGCCGCCATCTCCGCGCGAGCCCTCGACTCTGTCGCAGGCTCTGGGGGGGAACTTAAGGCGAAATGGAAGGAGGCGATGGAAAAGGAGTTAAAGGCTCTACAAGACCGAAACACATGGAAGCTGGTACCTGCAACAAGCATCAACGGGAAGAACGTCCTCTCGGGAAAATGGGTGTACCGCATCAAGACCAATGCGGACAGTTCCACCGAACGATTCAAAGCTCGATGGGTCGTACGAGGGTTCGACCAACGATACGGAACCGACTACACAGAACATTCGCCCCAGTCTCCCGTCACACCTCATTACGCATCCTACTCGCCGTCGCGGCCACGAAGAAACTACCACTGCGCCAAATCAACGTCGCAAATGCCTTCCTGTACGCACCTGTGGACGCTGAGATCTTCGTCGAGCAACCCCACGAATTCATCGACGACCCCACGAAAGTATGCCAGCTAATAAGATCCCTATACGGGATCAAGCAAGCCCCGCGGCTCTGGCAGCAGCATCTTCACGGTCGCCTCGAAAAAATCGGATTCCTACAGCTGCCGCATGACCAAGGCATGTACCGACTGCAAAAGGGAAGAGAGTATATCCTACTCATCGTTTACGTCGACGACCTGCTCTACATCGGTTCCACTACCGACATCGCCACTTGGTTCGAAGGGGAGCTGAAAGAGGACTTGACACTCACGGTGTCCGACGCAGTGACCCAGTACCTGGGACTAAATGTCGTTAAAGACAACTCGGCGCTCTACCTACACGCTGGAAAGTACGCAGGCACTGTCGCGAAGAAATTCGGTCTAACGCCGACTACGGTCCCGACTCCCTACCGCTACGGGAACAACAATCACACCTCTGCAAAATTTCCCACGAAGCAAATCCAGGAGTATCAGCAGAAGCTCGGCTGCCTACTATTCGCAGCAGTAACCTGTCGACCCGATCTCTCTTATAGCGCGAGCCAACTGGCGACGCATCTGAAGCAGCCGGAACAAGAAGATCTCGAGGAAATTAATCGGGCACTACTCTACTTCGTCTCCACGCCGCACGACCGGGCTCACCTACAGCAAAGTAACGACACCGTCCGTACGACTACTCGGATACGTCGACGCCGACCACGCGGGAGACAAGGAAAATCAACGATCGAGAACGGGCTACATCTACCGACTAGAACCTATCGGGACTATCTCCTGGCAGTCGAGCAAGCAGGAACTAATCGCACTATCTTCGGCTGAAGCAGAATATATCGCCCTCTGTACTGCGACCAAGGAAGGACTTTACTTACGAGAGCTGCTAGAGGAAGCGAAGATTGCGACCCTGCCCGTCTTCTCACTCCTCTGCGATAACCAATCTGCGATCAAAATCGCGAACAAGGACGGCTTCGCCAACTG